GATACCCGAATGCACTCACCCTTCCAGCTAACCTTAGCTCGACTGACTGACGAAGCGGGTTCTAGAGCCCTATTTATAGGCTGGCAAGATGACGTCACAAAGCGACGTAATAACGTCGAAACCTCTCAGACCAAAGATAGGTCCAATATAAGATAAAACATTATCATAAACACTGCAGAGACGTCATTATTCATGAAATATAAGTTATTTTCCTGAGCCATTACTTCAGCCAAGAAATAAGATGCATGGATTTGATGAAACCATGCTGTCTCATGCAGTCCTATATGTGTAACGAACTAACACACACACACACACACACACACACACACACACACACACACACACACACACACACACACACACACACACCAGCAGCAGCAGCAGCATGTTACAATCATCTGAATGACTAATTTAACTACATTGAACTGCTTTTGTAATAATGTAATCTCTTATTCTGGAGTAAAACAAGCTAAATCATCACATATCTGTGGCATCAAGGAGCATCTTGAGTTCAAACACAGGGATGGAGCACAATGTTTACACCTGAAAAAGTATCAGGATGTTTTAACTCACAGAGGCCTGCAGGTCTTCTGTTTAATTAGCAAAGTACTGAGAATCCGCTTGTTATGAGCGCTAAACGTTATTTTGCCGATGCCGTGCGGAATGGTAGGGAAACACATCTCAAACACGGAACCGAGTCTGGTTACCGAACCGAGCAGAATTCTGATGACGTCACACCGATGCGCGAAGGTGCGGGATCCAAGCCACAGGAGGAGGGAGAGAGTAGGTAAAAAGCGAGTGGATTACAGGGACTGAACTGATGTTTGAGCAAAACTGCGGTAAAATGGCTGTTTGTCCTCATTATCTAAAGTGTACCCCCCCTGCTAATTCGTTACTTTCCACCTCTGCTTTTTATTATTTTTGCAAAATGCAGGACCAGAGCGAATACGGTTTGGTTAGAAAAATGAGACAGTCCAAATGTTAATAGGGCCACTAATAGCTTACTGCTATTATGGACCAGTCCGAAGTCGGCATAAAAAGCGTCGGTACTGTTGGCCCAAAAAGAATGTCCACCAACCACTGTACGCCTGATAGAGAGCCCAGCGGTGGCACGGATGCACATTAATAGTTATTAATGAAATATCGCAATAAAGAGCCTCCAGTTCAGATGCTAACGCTAGCAAGAATGTACAAAGTTGAAAAACAAAAACGTGGTCCTACATGACAAATCTATAATTCCAGTCATTAAAAATAAATATTTAACTTTCCACCATAAAACTCCCAAAATTACTATGGTGCAAGTGATGTTTCATTTCGTGTCATGTTTTGTAAGCTAAACTTTGACAAGTGGGTTTCTGGTGATCTATAGATTGACTTAACACTAACCAAAACCACAATTTACATTCTTAAGAGTGATAAACTTACCTTTTAGAAGCTTTCATGTTGGAGGATGAACAGTGATTGTCTTTTTTCTTCTTCTTCAACGTAGCTGACTGTTCAAGAACTGAACTTCAAAAATGTGCTTCAAAAGAAATACTGTATTAGACCATTTTTTGGCCGTAATTTTCCGGCTGTCATAATTCAACAAAAAAAAACATCGGATTTAACATTATCCCACCATAATTTGGAAAATCGGTATGTTACTGTTGGAATTCTGCCGTAAATTTACAGAAATTTCTGAGTGTTGATAAGAGATACCCGAATGCACTCACCCTTCCAGCTAACCTTAGCTCGACTGACTGACTAAGCGGGTTCTAGAGCCCTATTTATAGGCTGGCAGTATGACGTCACAAAGCGACGTAATAACGTCGAAACGTAGAGTGAGAGGAGGACGCAAACGCAGACAACGGCTGGACAAACGGATTCCATTGGCTTCAATAACACGTTTGTTGTCTATAATGGCAGGTGGCCACCACCGCCATTTTGACCGTGTCACAGGTTCCGTCCAGCCCAGACAATTCCATAAAAGGGAAGAGAGGAGGTGCTGAGGGTGTGGCTGTAAGGCTGGGCTCGAGTGACGACACCCAGGCGAACTAGCTACGAGCTAACCTGAAGCTAACCCAAAAAAAATAATAATAATAAAAAAAAAAAAAACCTGAAGCTAACCCTGGCTAACCCAAAGCTAAAGCGGAGGTGGGAGCCGAGCTAACGGATGTAGCCACCTAGCTTCAACCCAACCGGAGCTAACTGGAACACCCATCGACCTGAACCTCACACGGAGTTTAGGTGGAGGTTTTCTGCGCCTGTTCGTGAGAAGTACCTGTATTAAAAAAGATTTAAATCGGTAAGTTTATAATTTATTTCCGTAATGAATACATTTTGCTTTGAGCAAGTTTTCAGTACAGTTTTTTTCGGCGCTATCACTCCTGAGTCGCACCAGCCATTAAATGTATCATGAAGAAGAGAAAATATATTTAAGTCGTATTTTGGGGGACATTTTATTATCTTTCTTACAAAATCTGAGACCAAGCGTTTCACATTGCAACACAAGCACCGGTAACCATAACAGAATGAACAACAGCCAGCAGAGGAGAGGATGGCGGTGTTTCAAACCCTCCCGGCCGGCGAGGAGAGCTCATTCCTGGGCTGGAGCCGGCCCTCAGCACCCCGCCACAGGCTCTAACAGATGCTGGCGGTGTTTGAAACCCTCCCAGCGGGACAGGGGAACTCATTCTTGTGTGGGTCGGAGTCGGCCCGCAGCAGCGCGGTGTAGCCTACATATTTTGTTATATAAGTCGCTCTGGAGTATAAGTAGCAGGACCAGCCAGAATATGTAAAAAAGTGCGAGTTATAGTCCGGAAAATATGGCAGTTATTAGTATTCGAGCTAAATTAGCAGCGTAAATACATTTCATATATTTCCAAAATGTAATACTTGTTTGTATCTTGTACAGCCAACTAGTCTTTATTCTGGACTCAGTACAATTTACCAAAAGTAAAGAGACATTCTACAGATGAAGTAAGCACAAGATAACTTACTGGAAGACACGGGATTATCATGAGAACCAGAACAAGAGAGCCTGATAACAGTCATGTGAAAATAACAGTTAAAAAGTATGTATGTATAATAGAAATAAAAATATATTAGAATTAGTGTAACTCACTGTGATCCAAACAATAAATCAGCCATAGCTGATTAGTAAATATGACATGAGGTCTTGGGAGTTTTTAATTTTCATTTTTTTCTTAGATCTGTTTAAATGTCACCATGGCAGCCTGTGTGTCTCCAACATCAGCTACACAAAGCAGCTAGTGTAAGTTCCACATACCTGTCTCACCACTTCATGTATGGTTTTGTACTTTGAACAATTATGACAAACCTGTTATTTTTTCTCCATAGCCATTTGGATCATTGGAGACAGCTATGTGAGGCGTGGTGCCCAGAGAGCTGCAGAGACAACCTTGGCCTCCCTGACGTCTGTGTCTCCTGGTTCGGTTGGGGCGGACCATCGACATACATACATGTGCCGACACTTTGCGCCCTGTTTTATAAAATTTAGTGTTAAAAATAAATGTTTTTGCTCAATTACTGGAATTTCTTTGGTTAAGACAAAAGTGAGGAATAATCATTTACAAGTTATTTGTACAACAGGCCCATTTTAAATCCCAACAGTTTCTTAGCAGACAATAGAAATTTGTTCTTTACTAACTTTACTTGGTTTAAAAATCTTACTAAAATAGTGCCGTATTGCAAAACCCAATCATACTTGTTATGTAAACATTAGCTTTGTAGATATTTTTTACAGATATATGTGTGCAACAAATCCAAACTTAAATAATTTGTCATTCTTTATTGAAAAACAACAAAATACAGTTATACAGAAGTGTGGGAAAATGATAATGTGAAAGTATTGCTATTTAAATGTAATCCTATTTATCTTTAAAAAGAAAAACTCTTAAAAATGTCCTGTACAGCATCATGACAGAAGAATGGTGGTCTGTCTGTCAGAATGTGCTGAACAGATTTGCTCTTTGAAGAAGAGTGTCATGTTTGGAGGAAGGTACTTAACCCAAGACATGCAGAATACAACACTGACCAAAAACTGATGGAAAAAATGATTTATTTATAAGGAGGAACTTAAGGTGCACAGATAAGTCTGTGGTTGGAACTGCAACAACAGCTCAGCGTCTGGAGGAGGGAGAACACAGGTGAGCATAGGTTCTGGTTTCAAAATCCATTGTAGGCAGGCAGAGGTGTTCAGCAGACTTACTGTGGTGGGTGTATGTGTTGGCTGGAGGAGAGAGAGGTAGAGAGGAAGCGCAGGAGAGGGAGCAGAGGTGGAGAGAAGCGGGGCGTCCTGGTGGATGGGGCACTGGGTGAGATGAGAGGTGGGTTATGGAGGCTGGTGATAAGGTCCGTGTGTTGAATATCCAAATCCTGGAGTAGACTTCAGTATCCAATGAGGTCGACAGGAATCCTGAAGAATGGTAAATCCAATATAAGAGCAAAAACACTACGAAATAACATTAATCCTAGGAACACTAGAGGTAACACGAGTGGCTGGTTACTACCAAAACTGAGGCAATCTTCTGGCGTCAAATTGTGTCCTCCATCCACCTTAAATAGGAAAGCACCCCGCTGATTGCTGATCAGGAACGGCTGGGGTGGAGTCACCAGAACCATGAAGAACGTGTCTCCAGAGACAACCCGGGTCCTGGTACCAATCAGGAAGCGGACCTTATCACCCAGAGCTGCCAGGTCACGCTCAAAGCCTTCCTGTTCACACTGCAGAGCCTGAACGCTGGCCAGGTGGTGGCCGTAGTTGTCTGTGTTCAGGGCCTGGTTCTTCTCCTCGATCCACTCTTTGGTCTCATCAGCGTCTCTGAGAAGACATCAGAACTCCATCTGAGTGTGGGTCCAAACTCTACTGACCCGTAAGCGGCGCATAAGTGTGCGGGGTACCTGTGGAAGCGCTGCACCTCATGGGCGCTGCCCAGCATGTTGCTCCGGTCTTCAGCCAGCTGTTGCAGCGAGCGCCAGCTGTTGTTCAGCTCCTGGAGAGAAACCAAACCCAGTGAGATGAAGGTGGACGCCAGCGGGCTGGACGCCGGACAAGGAAACCTGGAGACGGATCGCTCAGACAGGAAGGGAAGAGCTTCCTCTTACCTTGATGGAATTAAAGTTAGCCGTCGTCTGAACGCCCAACCGTACGGTCTGAGGTCAAAGGTCACAGGAAACACACACCAGTCAGCAGTCATACAGATGCATAAAGATAACTGTAGCCATGGCAACCAGCTGACATGTCCCCACTTTCACCAGCACCTGGTGCCTGCCGGGTCACCTGAATTCCTGTGTGATGTCAGCACGGTCGGCCGTGACTGCGGCCATCAGAGGTGACCTCTGATCAGCTGAATGAACTCACCTTCTAGGGTGACGCCGTGTTACCCCGGGTTTCCACGGGAGCCGTCAGCAGCACGTTACTGCAGCAGCACGTCTTGCTCGCGTAAGCTGCTGCTTGGCCCTTCCCACGAGACGCGAAGCAGCAGGGGAGCAGCTGTCACCGACCGAGCACGAAGTCACACGAGTGACTTCGTCAGTAAACACAACAACAAGCAGGAGAAAACTACAACATGGTTTGTGTTTTATGTTCTGTCCATTTTATAATCGCCAATACGGACCTGAAAAACAAAGGAGACCGCTAGCTAGGTGATAACTTCTCACGGGGCCGCACAGTTAGTAACTGTTTTTAAAAGTAAAGCAACCGGAAGGCAGTACGTTCTTTATTCTGAAAATCTCGGTAGCTTCTCTCAATTTCCGCGTCCGATTTCCTGTCTTTCCTTCCCCAAAAATGTCGAACTTGACCCGTTTCAGAGGCGTCGCGCGTAGAAAATAGAACCGGCGCGTAAGGGCCGCAACTTGCTGCTCCTGAGACGCGGCCGACTCTCGCTGCCGACGGCTCCAGTGGAAAAGGTTCTGTTGACCACAGCGGTTCCTATCAGCAGCTATGACGTGCTGCTGCAGTAACGTGCTGCTGACAACTCCTGTGGAAAGCCGGGGTTAGAGTCGGCTTCATCCTGTAAACAAACAAATGAGTGGTAACAAAAACACCACGTCTGGTTCTGGTGGAGGCGGAGGACAACACGCACCTTTCCAGGAGCAGAACCCAGATGTTCTTGTTGCTACAAACAGAGACGAGCAGAGTTAACAAACCAGGAAGTGAGAGGGACCAGCTGCTGCAGACAGGTGACGCTCACCTGAGCCTGAACCATAGGAGCCTCCTCAGCCATCAGACCTTCTGACTCCAGTTCAGATGCCACCTTGTTGATGTCCCTCAGGCGGGACTCGTTGGCCTTCAGGTCCTGCAGGACAAAAGCACCTGCTGATTATCACCTGAGCTGATCTGACAGCTGCTGCTGGAAGACGGAGAGGAGGAAAAGTCCGACCTTCTGGAAGTCGTCAAACTTCTTCTGCAAGACCTCGACCTGCTCCAGGTCCGACCCGTCTCTCCATCCTCATTCAGCTAAAGACGCGAGTTCAAGTAAAACAACCTAAAGTCTCACAAACACAAAGCAGGTGTGGAGATGTTCGCTCTGAGCTGGAGGTCGTTCCTCGGCTGTGAAGGGCACACGAACCTTGTTGGTGCTGTTGAGCAGCGTGAGGATGTCGCCCTTCTTCATGGTGACCTCTCCAGGACTCTTCTCCTGGTAGTCGTACAGAGCCAGAACCAGCTCCTTCCCGGTCTCATCGTCAGTTGGAGCCACTTGTTGCTGTCGGGTTAACAGGTCTGGTGTTAGAACGTGGTGGATAAGAATGTTCTGACGGGCCGAGGGTTCTGAACCAGCGAAGTGACCTGGACCCAAACAAAGTGAGCCAGAACCTGCAGACACCTCAGAAACATGTCAGGACCAGACCTGCTCTACCTTCCTCCATTATGGTCTCTCCTTTCTGGGTGACAGCCTTGATGCGAGGTTCATGACCTGTGATCTCAGCCTGCAGAGCCTGGTGCTTCTTCAGCAGGTTCTGGACACCAATCAGGTCCTTCCCTGAGGACACATGTTAGAGTTCAGCATTATGCAGTAGACAGACCAGTTTAACCCAGGGGTTTCTTTCTTCTACAATCTGCTCTTTAACTGTATTATTTCCTGCTATTTCAGCTGTTAACTTCATTTTTTCTCTAAGTGTTTTTCTCCCCAGAAGAAGCTACAACGATGTTCTGCTGAGCTGTGGTGGCCTCATGGAGGGGGCCATCATCTAGCACACTGCTGCTAACCACTTAATCATTCTCCCTCTCCTGATAATAACATTTTACTTTCTTTGATGTTGGATGTACTACTGCTAGTTTACCCGTTTAATTATAGATTCACTAGGATAAATACAATAAAGTTTATCTCTCACCAAATAGAATATTTACTAAGAAATCACAATGTAACGTGTGTGTGTGTGTGTATGTGTGTGTGTGTGTGTGTGTGTGTGTGTGTGTGTGTGTGTGTGTGTGTAAAAGCCATGTGTAGTGTTTATTTATAAAGCATATGTTGTTGGATTTTATCCAGAATCGAGATTTTGAAAATATATACACACTTAAAACTGCTGGGTTAAAAATAACCCAACTTGGGTTATTTTGTAACCCAGGCGCTGGGTCAAAAAGGGACCGACCCAACGCTGGGTTGTATTAACCAAGCAGGGTTGGGTTATGTGTTTGACCCAGCATATTGGGTTATGTTTTCTACCCAACTAATGGGTTAAAATGACCCAACTGTATAATTAGGGTAACCCAAAACTGGGTTAAAAAGAAAACCCAACTTCTGGGTTATTTAATAACTAAAGATTGGGTTAAAATGACCCAATTCTATAATATAGGGTTATAGGAAAAAAATAAATAAAATGCTTAATGAATAACTTACTACACAAAATGAACATGTCTCAGTCAATTCTTTATTGACCAAATAAGTTTTTTTTTTTTCATTTTTAAAATGCATAACAATACTAATACAACTAGAGAGTATTTAAAAACATTTATAGTCCCGCTCATTTTTTTTTTTGTAAAACTCTGCTTATTGCATTTGTGTAAATGTGTTTTAATGACAAATATTAAAATATTAGACACCTGAAGATCATGAACATTTTCAACCCAATGCTAATGGAAGAACTGTACTTACGTAAATGTCCAAAAACATGTAACTCATCTCCATGCTAGCAAAACATCAACTTTAAATCATAGCCAACTGAGCCCTCATTAGCTTTACAGCATTTGATTCATGCCCAGGCATTTCAAAGATGACCGTTTGAATGAACTCCCAAATTTGGGCACATGGTTTTGGGTAATTCACATCTAACACAAAAAATGTTTTAAAACAGCCATCAACTGCACCCAAAAGTGATGGATATTCCATGGCAGTCCCATTGAGGATAACGAATGCTTGGGAACATCGATGGTCTTCACCAAGCATAAGAACATGTGGGTCGTCTGTTGTGGCCCCGGTCAGGTACTCCACCATGTTGGTTCCAGTCTAAAAGTAAGGGGAATTGAAGAAAAAAAAAGAGAAAGAAAGGGAAAAAAATTAAGGCATGAAAAAGAAATGGTTTCATACAAGTTGTGGAAGCATATTTGGAGTTGGCTGTCAATAATAGTGGTGCAACTGTACAGATAGCCCACAGTACGGTCTGTAGTACGTTTTTTAGACCACGGTCTCAGTATGGTTTTGGCATACGTTTTGTGCAGAAAGGCTGCTGTTTGTTATCCCAAAAAGTGTATTTAATTTTTTTGTGAGCAAAAACATTTGCATTATTTCAATTATTACTTGTATCAAATACAAAATCTAAAAAGATATGTAAAATGTAAACAAACAAAATGCAAAACACAAAATGCATGTAAACACTCCAAAAAACTGGAATACAAAAATTCACATACCGGTAATATAAAGATGACTATTTTAAATGAGTGAGCTATGTTAATGAAACACAAAGTTTAAAATAGTTTAAACAAATGTTATATTTTGCACTGCAGCAATGCATACAATTGAGTCCTCAATGGTCCATTGCTCACTAAACACAAAAGCTGCATTAATGTCTAGCTCGCAAACTGGGAGCTGACTGCTCAGAGAAAGACAGGGAGAGGTCAGCAGCTCCTGTGCTGCACACAGAACAGCTGACAGGCCAGAGCAACTTGGGATTTCCGCAAAATAAATCAGAAAACCATCATTCAAAGACATTTATTTAATTCTGACCACTTCAATTGGAGACATGTTTCCTGACTTCCAAACTTTGGCTGACAACCCAGCGAGCGTTTGGCGTCAGGTGCAGGTGGAGTGGCGCTCTGTGCCAGACAAGATGCAGAGCCATGCGCTCTCACATAAGTGTAATGAATTCATGTAGCCTGTAACTCTGCTCCATGTGTGGCATGGTTTAGAGTAGGAATGGGCGATATAAACTTAATCCACAATAGAGATTTTCCCTCTACTGCAATAGAATGGATTTTTCCAGCTGTACCATGATGGGACGCAGCAGCATAAATGATGTTCAGCGTTTATAGTCCCTGTAGATCAGAAATCGCACTGCCATTTTAATTAATACTGAACCAAACCAGCCTGAACAGAGATTCAAACCGTGCCACCACACATGGACCAGAGTAACAGGCTACAGGAATTAATTATAAACACACCTGTTACCAGAGTGCGTATGGCGCTGCGTCCTGCCTCGCACAGAACGGCGCTCCCCCTGCACGAACGAGAGCTAACAATGCTAACAGTAAATTAGAAAGAGTCAACTCTAAAAATATCTCAAGTTGCTTTTTTCAATTACCACAGATGCTATTGGAGTGAAATGTATTTATCTACTAACAATATCAACTACTGTGTCTGACTCGTCTTGTTATGATTCTAGTCCGAACGAGGAACCAGGGAGGGAATTTTTCTGCAGCACTCCGATTTGACCACAAGATGTCAGTGTTACGTATCCCTCATTAAATTTACAGTCTTTCTCCTGGCATTCAGTTTTAAGTCTGTAAATCTTTCATTTATTCATTTTACCAATTTTGAATTTATTATAATTTAATGTGCACATAAATGGAAGCAAGTGAAAAATTTAAAATTTCAATAAAAAATTTCCACTGTTATGTCAGTGCTAAATAAATATTTCAGTTTTGTTTTATTGCAATGCCTTGATTATAGTGAAGTTGGAATACATTGTAGCCATAAATGCTATGGTTGACTTTTAGCTTATTGACATGCTAATTGACCATTTTTCTTTCAGTGCTGCAGTTTTCAGCCTTGGTTTTCTCATTTTAGGTTTTTGGTTTCAGCCAAGAATTTTCATGTTGGTGCATCCCTAGAAAATAATACCTAATGTCAAAATTAATAGAACTTACTGGCTGGATGTCAATGAAGGCCTTGCGAACCACGCTGCTGGGTCGGAGGAGTCTCCTTCCAACTTTGTATGGTGCAGTAGGGAGAATCAGTGGGAGCAACAACAAAGCGGCATCTTCCTGTTTGTCTGTAAAATGGAAATGTTTCACATTTCTCAAGGTTACCAAACTTAGAAAATGACAACCATAAAATATGAACTGCAATGATTTTGAGGTCAGAACACACTGGCTGATATCTTTCAAAAACAAAGTTGGAACTATTCAAAAACAGAAAAATGGATGGGTGAAAATCTTATATCGCCCACATCAAGTCAGACAGAAAAAACTGCCTCAGATGTTACCATAAAACCTACTGAATACAACAAGTGATATGTTTGTTAAAACAAGGTGAAGTACTCCCATTGGCAACACAAGATGTTTACCATATATTCAGCTCATCTCCAAAGCTCCAGCAGATAATAAAAATTTGTAAGAAATTGTATACAGCGCATTTACTGTCCTCTAATGCCTGCACACCTAATAGGCTACGTATTGACAATGAGATCAAAATAAAAAATTTAAATGTCTCATTGTACTTATAGAGCCTTTATTTAAGCTAATTTTTCAAAGATTGTTTCATAGTTGTTTTTTTTACCGTAAATGACAAGTTGATTGATCTGAAAGAGAAGCAATACACACTGCTTTTTAAGGACTTTCCATTTTTGTCTGAGTTGATGCTAACCTTGCCCTGCAAGATGTTTTCTCGCAAGATTTGGAGTTTTCCAAACTCGTGAGAATCCATCTTGGCCTCCTCCAATCCTGACGGTTCAGCATCAGCTCAATGGTAAACGGACTAATCGTGTGTCAGCATTGTGCTTTTTGGCAGGCGCATGAGCAGCTGTTTGGGCATGCCGACAAACATGGCAGTGCCGGTGGATGTCAGAGCAGTTACTGGTTTCAGAATGGATATAACCTCCAGCAAAAGGTAGGCCTAGGTAGTCTCATTTATAGCTCCAATACGGCGCTATATTGAATATCTGTTTTAGAAAAACTAGAGACTTAGCTGTGATTGGCTAAAGACAAACCATGGTAGCCAGTGTTCGGACACTTGCTGGTGCTTCCTCCAATCAGCTCAAAGTATTCCAGCAGATGGCCCACCCTCCTTCCTAGACTTTCTAATGCAGCCTGCGGCGGAGATTCCAGATCGAAATATGGAGACTCGACAGGTGGCGGGGCTACATAGAGAGAGCTGACTGCTGCCAGCTTAAGCTGATGCAACTAGAACAGCAAACCTATAGTCCATGACCTCATCTACTTTCAGTCACTCAGAATTATGAGGTAACTGGAATGCACCATCAGAGCTTCAGCACCTGGATTTTCAAGTTGTGTGCTGCTACTTTCTGGAGAAAAGCTGGCTGGCTATGGCTAACCTTACAATTTCTTTTATATTTCCATCCCATCTTCAAGATGTAGCCCATTATAAGGCGTGTAAAGGCTTTTAAATTGAGGACAAAGTGTGGCTTGTATAATTATTATTTAGCTGCTGAGCTACTTTATATTGGTACTGGAAACAGTTGACCTTGTTCTAACAGATATGTCTTGTTTTATTTATTCAGTGGGGTTTATGTGAACACCTGAAGCTATTTTAACGAGTCTGTTCTGTCTGAGGCGGTTTAGTAAGAAGAATAAAAAGTGTGTTCTTGAGAAATGTCTTTTTATCTAATGTCTGACATCTGAGGTGTTCTTTCTGAGGTCTTACACATGTATTCTTGAGACCCGAGGATGTCCTAAAATGCACACTGTATAACCGTCCAGAAGGACAATGATCTTGGCAATCCACCAATCAGGCCTGGATGGTAGCATGGTCAGACAGAAGCCACTTCACAGTAAAAGGCTCGTATCAGCGATCCACTTTGAGTTGCTTGAGATAATGGGCTGCACCGCAATGCATGCTACTGGTGCAAATGGCTGAATTAAAAAAATGCACTAGTGTGTTCTGTCCCATATCAGCCTAGCCAAAAATGTTATAGTAAACTCTTGACTCAAAATAAAAATTAAATAAAGTTGACAATGATTGTGAAATGCAAATACCTGCTGGAAGCGAATCTATGTCGATGAGACGGTTAGCTGCGTCTTCTTTTCTGGCCATGCGGATGATCTTTCGGGAGAACACGTGGCTCCACCTTGCAGTTAATTTCTCTGAGGAGTCTGGGTGTAGCACAGAGAAGTCCTGAGAAATCTTACAATGGGGGGGGGGGGGGGTAGTAAGAGACATATTGTTAAACACAAAAACTGATTTGTGAAATTTACTGTATAAGAAAGCTCACCATGCCTGGAGTGTCAACCAAACGTGGAAACTCGGCCATTATTTCTCTGATTGACATTGTCCCATTGCTTCTAATCCACTGGGCTCGTTGGATAGCGGTCTCCAGCATATACTGGGAAACTTGTGATGGTGGCCAGATATTGTTTTTCAGCCATTCTGTCATCTGGATGGCTCGCTCTGGAGATACAGTAGGTTCTGTTGTAGATTAAAAAAGAAAAAAACATTCTGAATAGTGATGACTGATCATGACCTTTACAATTTAAAAATATGTCAGAATTGTTTCATTTCAGCAAATGCCCTAGAGAAAGAGTGCAACCATTAAGTAGACTGTAATGGCGCTTTTACACTTGGGCCAGCTTGTCCCGCTCCACTCCAGCCGGGTTGTGTTCACATGTTGCCGGTGAGGAATTGGGCCATGAGCGGAGCCAGCAGGTGGCGGGAAAGAATGCAGGTAAACAAAGGCAGGAGCAGCATTGGGGAGAGCGGGGGATATCTCGGAAGGAAACAACGCAGAGGAGGTCGCAATTTATTTGTACGTTGTGCGTGGACTGGCTCTTTTTAAAGAAAAAATCTCCTTGTTTGACATGTGAGGAGACGTCGTTCTGGTAGAGAATCACTGGAAGCCGCTCAGCAGAGCTGGGAGAAGGCAGACAGCACATCGGGTGAGCGCCGGTTACAGTTTCCAGCTGCAATGTGTTTAAATCAGTTAGAAAGAGCGAGAGTGACATCACTATGCAGGGCTTATCAGTTCATAGGTGGGCGTGTTGGCCAGAGTGGAACCAAGGTTTCCTCGGTCCGAAAATGGTGTCCGTTCCGCGCAGCTCTACTCGAGAAAAAGAGTGTGAACGCTCTGAGCGGGGCCGTATCATGCGGAGCCGACGCCAGTGTAAAAGCGCTATAAGATTAAGGCAAGTTGGCTTTACCAGGCAAAACAATCTGGCATTTTTGTGGCGCTTGAGGTGTTGACTTATTCTGGGTGTCGCAGCGTGACCTCTTTCGCACATTGCGGAGACATTCCTCTAGGAATCCTGTTGCAGGTCTATGTTTCCTTCCTGGGGTGAACCACGCATCCTAAAGTAAAAACAAAAACACATACACAACAGGAAAGAATACAAAAATAGCAAATTAGAAAATAAGAAAACCAGCACAAGCCTTTGAATGAGGTAGTGGATTCACTTGAAATTTACAATTTATTTATTGGGAGTATCCACTCTGAGGTTTGTGTTTTAATTATATGTTGGTCACACAGTGATAGGCAAGTCAAATTCGTCTGTAAAGCACACTTTCAGTGATAAGGCAATTCAAGCTGCTTTTGAAGACCTGCGATATTCTATAACAGTGCTTAATATTGCGATATTGATATTACTCACGATAAATGAACAAATACTAAAATATGCAGTGTTGATGTCGTCTGGCGTGTGACGTCTTCTCTGGGTTCAAAGCAAACAAAAACTAATGCATGAATTCCATTACAACATAACATTTTTATAGCAAAAACATGCAGCTGCACCTGCTACTGTATTAGTAGCAAAACAACAAACTGCATGCATGCAGTTTCTCAGTGACTTTAAAACATCACCTCCACCATAAAACTTTTTCTGATTCTCCAAATACAGAAAAACATCCCTTACCAGGGTTTTTAGAATAAATACTTTAAATGTTAAATAATAGTTAACATCACTTAAATGCAACAGCAAATTCTCTCATTGCTACTGAACATTTTCTCCACTTATGTGGTTAAGATATAAGGATGTTGCTGTAATTGGAAAGTGAACTGTGCTGGGCCAAACTAGGAGAATATTAAGATTTTCTGAGGGAAAGAGAAAAACAATCGTCTACCTTTCAGAAGAGGAACTGGCAAAAAAACTACATGGAAAATATGTGAAAACGTTTGTTTTTAACCCCAAATTGAACAAGTTTACCTAGATCTTAAAAAGCAGCTCAGATGATGAAACTGCAACTATGATTCTGATAACAAGCTAACTAATTGAACTAGCTCCTCTAAGATAACTGGCTAGCAGAGCTTCTGACTGACAGTTTATGTGCAGCAGCAAATCAACTATCCTGATTAACAAGGTTATAAAAGCTCATAAATGAAAAATCACTTTGATGTGTGGGGGAACTTTTCCAGGCCCTCTTTAGCAGGGTGGGACTGGGAGGAGAGTGCTGTAGCCTTTTAGCTGGAAGCTAACCGGAGCCACCACCCGGTGGAACACTAGCGACATGAAGGTGGGTTGGTTCACCGGCACGTGTCGGAGTCAGCCCGGTAAAAATGATTACGACACCGAGCGGACTCACGTTCACGTTTGAAAGCAGCGCTGATTCCAGAAACCTCAGCACAAAGTGTGTTCGGTGCTCTGAGCCAGAATGACGAACAAGGGAACGGCGCTGCAAACTATGTTCAGCTGTTGCTTTCCAAAAGAGTCTATGTAGGGGGCGGGCGTATTACGTGAACGGACCCATCTGATTGGTCGCATATCAGAAGGACTACATTTGATTGGTCAAATAATACTTCTGCGTAAAAAACAGAGCTGGTTTACAAAAAGCTGATGTATGACACGGATGGAAATGTTTGAACCAAACATTTATCGCTGTTTTTGCCGTGTTTTGCGATGGGCCTATCACACGTCCTGTTATCGCGATGACGATAATTTTTCGATATATTGTGCAGCCCTAATAGATATTAATATAGATGATGGTAGGACAGTTTGCTGACTTTTATGAGAGTTTTAAATGTCCTTTATTTTTGATAACATAATAATGTCATATGAAACGTTACTTACATAGCCCGTGCCAAGACTGTCCTTTAGACATGGAAACTGCTCCACTACTGATGATGCCAGCAATGCCTTTGATTCCGAGGGTGGACTTCAAAAGAAAATTGACATGTTACTTTATTATACACCCAAAACAAAAGATACTTTTGTACACTTATTATGAAACAGCTTTTTTATTGTTTTCAATCATATTTTGAAAACCATAATTTGTGATTCAACACTCCAAATCCTTTGGAAGAGATGGCCATGGTTTAAAAATCTACATTTGTTCACCAACTTTAAATAACATAAAAAAGAGAAGTCTATTATAAGTTTGAAAAGATGCTCACTTCTCTCCAAAGCACTCAATCAGGTGGGACACAAGTATCCTGACCATGGATCTTCTCTCACTTATAGAAATGTGATGGCTTTCTTCAAGGCTGTGAACTATTGCTCTTCCATCAGGTGTTTTGTTGAGTATCTCACGGATATTCTAATAATATGTGAACAGAGAAAAAGGGTCTAATTAAATCTGCAAAGAAACCTAAACCTTCAATACATCACTGGGAAAGGTTAGAGGGATTTTCTGGAGGGAATGATAAGAATCCATTATTACTTCTGCATGGATAGTAAGACTTACAAATGATGTTCCACCCTGGACAGGAGCCACGTGCTGCAATTTGTCAGCTGGTGCACAAACAGACTCCGTTTGTTTAGGGCTTGAATCCTGGTTAAAAAAAGCAGGGGAAGACCCTACATAACTACAAAAAAATTGATAAAGCATCTATAATTCTGATTGTAGTTTTAGTTACATGGTTCAAATCATAAAAACAATTATGGTATATTTGTCAAAAACACTCAGGTATATACTTACAAAAGTGATGATGATAAAGCTGATATGCAGCTCCACAGTTATATTGATTTTAATCAAATATTTTAATGATTTGAATGTATTTACATTTATTTGTCACAAAAATGAGGTAGTACCAGGTCAAAGCTCAAGACAGTACTTAAAACCCTTTGGGTTTAAAATAGCCTGTACCTCAGTGAAATGTAGGTCACTGCAATTCTCCTTGTAGGATTTCACAGCATGGAGAGGGTGATAGTCAGCAATGGAATCAATGTCCACTGCTTCAATCGCTGAGGTAGGGGAAACATTGAAGGCAAAAAAAATGCCTTTCAAAGCCGATTGTTTCCCACTTTTTTAAAATGAGCTTAGTATTCGAACGAAGTACCACAATGCTCTGAATAGTTCCAAACTGAGGCTCGCAGTCATCTGTATGAGACATAAATAATGTCATTCCTGTCCTGTAGCTAGTGCCCTTGTACTTAATCCAAGAAGGCAGATAAACGTCTGTAATAACAGCAACTCCTTCAAACCCAGATTTGACCTTCTCAAAATCCTCTATTGTACCAAGGAGTTTGGTATATCCTGGCCCAACTTCAAACTCATGGCAAAACATCTGGCCTGACAGGAGAGTGTAACACATCATTATTTGATGTCTGTAGGCTTGGGTTTTACAGATATTTCGAAAGTTGCAGGTAACATGACTCACTCTTTTGAAAAACCCATGTTTTGCCTCAAAGCGCATTGACCAGAAGTGAACAACAGGCCCAAGTTTCCGTATGGCTCTGGGATAGTGAAGCATGAAGTGGTGTTTGGGTTTTAGATGTCTGTCTGGGAAGAGCTCTAAATAAAGACAATGGTGCTTCTCAATGATGTGCCCCAAAAAGACTACTGCTCTTCTGTTAATGAAGGAGAAAAAATAAACTCCATGCAGCTCAACAATAAAAGAAGCAACTCCCAATATTTGTTGTCCTCTGGAATCAAATCCCCTATCATGAGGGGAAGCAGTCTTAGCAGACACCATGTTTGTGAAGCAGATTGCCTAAGTCCAGTATCAGGATTTTTCAAGTCCTGAGGTTTGATGGTTGATGGCTTGTTGTGGACATCACAAAATCCATAGTCAAAGCTTGTCAACCTGTAGTTCAGCTGATCAAGAGTGACAATTTTTTGTTCAATCAATGCATTGAGCACAAGCTTAATTTCATAACCACCAATCCCTTCGAGGATATCATGCATGACATCAGGAGCAACATTGTCAGTCACATGGTAGAACTGCAACTTGTTAAGAGAGCACTCTCTCTTGATGCCAGTTTCAGCTGGTTTGTGTAGAAGCAAGTCTGAGTGGTAGTTAACCTTGTCACGTATTGATGAAGGAGCTTCAACTGTCTGTACCCTCAACACTTCCTTGTGAACTCGACACCACCGACACACGCTATTGCCTGCAAAGCTTTCTGTGTAACCAAGTATTCCATTAAGTCCAAGGTTATCACCACAGACCTGTGCCACTCCAGCCTTAACAATGCCTGAAAAACGTGTGGTTTCAACATGAAAGCCATTCAGTTCCATGTCTTTAATGTCATTCACAATTGGCTCTAAAATTGTGTTCATTCCATATGTTTTTACATCATCAGCTTTGTACACTGCCAACAAGAAGTGAGACTTTAAACTAGACATGTATTCCTGTGGCAAGCATTTCATTGTGAAATAGATAAAACCAAGTTTGTGGACTGATGTTTTTGCGCCAAGTGGATTCACCATCTCACACTCATCACTGTAAAGAACCAATGGAATAGAGAAATCTTTAGAGAAAAGTGGATTAGTTTCAAATATTGTGCCATCTCTGAAATCCTCTAAGGCAGCATTTTCAAGATTTTGCCATTCAAAGATCTTATCTATTGTTCCTGGACTTTCCAGAACAAGCTTCAACATGGGTTTCAAGGGAACATACTGGAAAGTGTCCCGAACTGCAACTTGTTTCACATTTCCTGACTCTCGATCAATTTCTTGTGTAAAGGAAAAGCCAGGGAGTGGTACTGCCTCTGGCTGTATGAAGAACCCAGACTGAGTAAAATATTTCATTTGCTTGTACTCTGATTCAAATCCTTGAAATGGTTCAGCTGCTTTGGTGAACTGCTCCATGAGGTCCTCTGCTTGTGGAGTCTCAGAGTGACCGATCTCTCTTAAAAAAGAGAGTGTTTTTCTCTTTAAGCAACCAACTACATCTCTGATAAGACCTGATGTGTTTTCAACTACATCTCTAATCCCACTGAATGTCTGAGAGGATGTTGCCTTTAACCTAGCTAAGAAGAGTGCAACTCTGTCCTTTATGTTGTCTTCCTCTAGCTCATCCCAATGTTCTGCTGTAGTCTCACAGCATTCCACCTCATTTAGCACACTTAAATGAGGATCTACTGAACTGTCAGGAAGTTCACCTGTGCTACTTTCTTCTGTTTCAATGTCAAACTCAATAGCATGCCCAATTATGTGTCGTCTGAATGATCTTATTTGATCAAAAGTGCGATGGCACCCAACTTGAGCACACTGGAAATAAGTCGAAGTAGAAAGTATATGATGCACCACTCTGAGATGGTTAAAAAAAGCTCTTATGTTATGACCTAAAGACCTATGACATTTAAAGCACACGTACCCCATTCTGTTTTGACCTCTGACACTGGTCATACCTCAAGTAATCTTTTTAAATTATTCTGAATTTTCAGGCGTGGACCCAGGAGAGGTATCAAAGTCGTCAAGCTGTTCGCATCCAAGAGGAAAAGGCTGTCTTTGTCAATCTTTTCAGCTGAAAAAAAGAAGGAAATTTGGATCACTGATCAATAAAACAACAAGCCACACACAGATGTAGGCCTGGGCAATAAAACAGTAACCATATGTACCGCAATGTAACTTTTTCTCAGTAGTAAAATGAGACTCGCAATATAGTTTGTCCATCTTTTTTTTCATAGCCAACTGAATTACACTATTAAAATAAACTATACCAGGACAGATTGGGAGAATTTGCTTTTAGTTTTTAGCTTATTCATTTGATATTGACAAAACGTTCGACAATTTATTCTCCTGTAAAACTTATTGTATCCTGAGATTTATTTTTAGTCAATATTTTGTTTCTAAGTGGAATTGACCAAGCAGTTAGGTCATTTTTTGTTCTCTTTTGAAACTTGAAAGCTTTAGTCCTGACTTTAGTTTATAATATTATGAACCTTTATTATTTTAGTCACCTGAAACAGATGTTATGTTCTCTAAGTACGACTGTCATGTTGAACCTTTGACAGGAAACTAATATTTAAATATAAAAGCAGCTTCTGATGATTTCACATTTAACTTTTAAGTAACAGCCCATTTAAATTTTACACAGAGTTTTTTGACTTATATTCCAATCTAATCCAATCCAATTTTATTTATAAAGCGCATTCAACATGGCATTACAACCAAATAAGGCGCTGTACACCAAAATATATATATATATATATATATATATATATATCGACATTGACAGAAAGGAAAAAGATGTATCGTGATATGAAAAATCTTATATCGCCCAGCTTTACACAGATGTAAATATGAGTACTGGTAGTTACAGTTTTTTACTTTAATTACAGAAATACATTTACTTTATCATACCTTCAAAAGCAGGGATGTATTCAGAGAGGTTCCATTCCAGAAGTTTGTCCTTCACAAATTCATCCATCTTTTAGAAAAAAACAGAAATCACATTTGGTTGCTGTATTTTTTTAACAGTTAATCACCAATATTACTTGCAGTTAATTAACAATTGAAGTTTACAAAGGATTATACAACAAAGCAGAAGCAGTATTTATCAACAATTAACACTTGAACTGTGCATTTAACGTCATCTGTTTGGTAAGATGCTGCTAAATCAGTAGCCAGTGAGCTCACCTGTCCGTTCCCTGTTTCAATCTGTTGTGTCCTACAAGCTTATTATTTTATAATGTCCCAAACACTTGCTGAAATTAATTGTTTTCATCTGGTAATATTGCCCACAACACTGGAGAGGAAATCTTCCGCGCTGTTCACAGCCATGCTGCTACTGTTAAACGCTAACAAAATAAAACGTATGCAAGTAGGGAGTAGCACAGATCATCTTTGGGCAGATTATCAAAAATAGAGCGCGTCCAGATCGTTTCAAAAGCTAACACATTATCTCAAGGATTCTGAGGATTGGATGACAATCCTCAGAACTTCCTGACAGTTTTGTGGGAATATCTACAGTTATAAATTAACATCCAACTTTGTTTTGGTACACATCTACATATATTCAAGCTTTAACATACCTTGAGTGAAATAAACCGGGCATTATCATGAAACTCTGGCTCCCATGATTCGGATGGATTATCAAGCAGTTTACCTTTGGCGTGCTTCATCAGCTGGAACCTATTAACTTTCACGTTAATGTCCGCCCGTTTATTTGTGCGCTGCTGCACACGACTCTGACTGACACTGATTATATTTTATTTCACCGCTATGTAGCGCGAGCTGTTGTCAACTGAAAGCAGTAGCAGTTTGCGCGTTGCGCCGCCATTTGTTTGCTCCCCACCCCAGGGACAGGGGTTGTGGAGTTGGCGCGCGTGCCGTTATGTAACATGCATATGAACCTGTGAACGTAATCTGCCCGGCAACAGTTACAGTAGCGGGAAAGCTGCGCGCAACCACTTAGATAAGCTATTATTCTCCTGTAGCACTATGCCTATTGGTCTCCTGTCTCATTTCCCCACAGAAATGTATAGTAGAATTGGTACTACCAAAGAAGTAGTGCTGAGCTACACAAGTAGCGGGAGGTATTGCACAGACCGCAGCATAAAGAGCCCCTGCTGCTAGTGGGGATGCTATGCATAGTAAGCCTAACTTCCTGAGCCTCATCATGTCTAACAAACAAAGGGAGGGTGGACAAATGGTAAAACACTGTCTGGAGCAGATAGTTGTGTCACAGATTTTCTGTTCCATTATATCTAATGAAGTAGATTGATGCTAGGAAGCTATAGCTAGCTAGCTACTCGAAGCTATATTCGGTTGAAAATCTCTTGTAGGCTTAAAATCTCTTTGTTTACTGCATTACCTGCCTTCAACTGCTTTACCAGAACACATTTTCAAACTCCATCATCAACATCTTACCTTATTTTTAAACATTGCTGGTGTGAAGGTCCATGGAAATGAGGCAAGTCCTTGTCATCCTCCACTTTAAAATGGTGAAGCTGGCACAGACGAGGGGGAGGATCTTTCTTTTTACCGCCCCTTTTAACCCAACATGCTGGGTCAAAATGTTTGACCCAATGTTGTATTAAATTGACCCAACTGCTTAAAAATCAGCCTTAACCCAGCAGTTGGGTTAGCAAAATAACCCAGCATTTTTAAGAGTGTAGTTTAATTACAGTTTGATTTATTTGACATCTGTATAATGTTTATTATTTTGTTTTTCCCCCTAAATACCTAACGTTTGAGTTTAACATGAATATCAGTCATTCATCCCAATACATGAAGTTACACATTTTAAATTTTAATAGGGGAAGACTGCAGGAGGGAGCGGTAAAATCATAGACTGTACATACTTGCTACCCGCCGGCTGTGATCACAAGCGACAACATATTAGTTCCCGCTGCTTCTTCGGTAAACAGCGCAAACAAAAACAAAGAAACTTGGGATCTTGTCGGCGTGGCGGTGGGATTTAAGGGAAACGCTGTATGCCCTATAGACTTCTCACCGAGCTGCAGTATTTCTCCGGTCAGATCTGTCTCTGAGAGCTCCAAGAGCGGTCAGCCCGCGCAGAAACTAGCCGCCGCACAGGTCAGGCTGCCTGGCCTGACCGCTGGGGATTACCGGATGGAAGAATGGACACAGGTGTCACTCCAAGCCTGCTGGAGATTTTAAGGGTTCAGATGAAAACACCCTACCACTCAGGCTGCTTACACATCGATATTAAGTTGTCGCTGTTGCGCTCACGCCGTAATACAGTATTAGATGGGGTTAAAGTCAGACATGAAAAACTCCACGAGCGGTCAGACCGCGCAGCAGCTAGGCGCAGCAAGTAGGCGCCGGATCGTCCCGGCTGCCCGGCCTGACCGCTGGGGATTACCGGGTGGAAGAATGGACACAGAAGTCTCCCTCTTTGCGCTCCGTCATATTTCAACCCATTTTGATCTTTTACCATATTACCCATCTAAATATGCCCTATTAATTATTTTACCGTATTTTACATTTAAATTTCATGGTTAAACAGTACATGCTACATGTTAAACTGATAGTTAGCTAGCTACTTCGGTAAACTCAGCTAGTTTAAAGGTGGCAGTGACATAAAATACGAATATAGATTTTAACTTACCGAAAAAAACGAAGTGGAGACTCCTTGGACGCTCTATTAGTGCAATTAATACCACAGCAAGTCATTTTGTCCAACAATTGCACCAATAATATCCAAAACAGAATTCACAAGCACAGAGACTCAAAATCCCGAAACAGCTTCCAGGAGGGGCCGAGGCTGTACTGAGGCCTTTCCACGGAGCTAGCTCTGTGGTCACGTGGGTCTGAGGCGGCGGTCACGTGTGTCGGATGCTCATACAGAATTTTAGGCTTTCAATACAGAAGAGTGAGAAAAAAATTCACCCCCCTCAGAGTTGTCATGAGTATAAACTAGATAATTTAGACAAAAAACATGTTTTGGCACCAGGCTGTAAACATGTTTATTTCTGCTGTGAAATCGGCATTTTTAACATGGGAGTCAAAGAGGATTTGCTCGCTTCTGGCACCAGCCCCCAGCGGATGAGGGTGGAACTGCAATTTTTCTTACTTCCGGGATGGGACCATTTTTAGAGCGGCATTGTGGGGGCTCTCAATTCAGGGTCTGCATCCTTCGATGGACGCAGCCCACTCGGCCGACGTGGGCTGCGTCCTCCGTCGGCCGGGTAGACCGGATGTTAACGGCTGTGAATTTGGACAGGCCTAGCCTTCATGAACTCCCTCCGCGAACGTTCCGTCGCCTAGCAACCGTGGAACCGCTGGGCAGAAGGGAGAAGGAACTTTAAACGATGGAGCTTGACGTTTTATTTAGCTTTTTAACCCCCAGAGACCCAAATTTAGAAAACAACTGCAAAATCTTTATTTAACCTTTCACATGTTGTTCTAGGCCAGATAAACGGGCCTATTTACACATTTTAACAGTCAATAGTGTTGCAGAACTGAACAATAGGACCTATTAGCAATGTAAATGTAGTTTTAAAAAGAAAAAATGGGGAAGGTTTATTCTTGTAGACTTAAATCTGATGTTGTAATGTTACAACCGTGGGTCTCTGGGGGTTAATCATTTCCTTGACTGTTGGAGAACTAATTCAGAGAAAATACTTTAGACAAGCTGAGCCTGAGCAAAGATGTGATAATAGTTTTTAATACTTTCTAAGGGTCTTAATTTGACCAAAACCCATTTATCAACTTTTAAGACTTTAAGACCCAGCGGATACCCTGTAATATTGAACAATTCTCATTTGTAAACAAAAATAAAATTCAAGAGTTTAATGCAAAACTGATTTTATTTAGATATTTCTTTTATATGTACATGTTTAATCTTTATTAACCATTTTTTTCTAGCAAAGTAAAAAGCTGTCAAAGTTATTCCTTCTCTCCTGGGCCCTCTGCCTCCCTCTGCAGCCTCATGTTCTCCCTGATCAGATCCAGAAGCTGGTCATCGCTGGCACCTTCCCCTGGATGCCCATTTTCTCCAGAATAGTCTTAACAAACATGTAAGAAAAGAAACAGGAAGAGAAAAGAGGACAACGGGTTATTCCTTTCATGTTTTCGCAGAAAAAATAAACTCAAACGAGTTTTTAAAATATGAGATGTTATTGTACCTCCATGCCACAGCCGCCGAATACTTTGCTCCGGTGATCATGTGGTCCATCTCCGCCCTAAGCTTAATAAATTCCCTGGTTTTCTCTTTTGTTCCTAAAATACAAACTTCTATTAAAATCAGGGGGAAAACGTAGCGGGAGAAATACGACACCGAGCGCGGCCGAACATACGAGCCGAGACCGCAATACAAGCACTTTTACTGTAACATTTCTAACTAAAATAACGTTCATGTATCACAAAAAGTCATTAACCTAACAGTTTTCAAGTTTATACTGACATTTATATGCGCAATCCTCTCCGACAGCTCCCGCTTCACTGTCCGCCATTGTTTTTAAGTTTTAATGCTGGCCGGCCCGCAAGGCATCTTGGGAAATGCTACCTGTTGAAGGATACACCGGACCCATCCTTCATTCAGGCGAAAAGAAGGCTGCATTCGTCGACCGCATTTGAAGGAGTCTTCGAATTGGGACAGGCCTAGTCGCGGCGCTGTGACGTAACCGGCCGACGAATCCGGCCGACGTAGGATGCAGACCCTGAATTGAGACACAGCCACTAAGCTAATCAGGCAGCATCACGTGGGTCTTCAGCGTTTGTGAGATCATACAGGTGACTCCAATTCCTTTACAAACCTTAAGGAATCACGTGGTAATCTCAGATTGTTTCATGGATTTTTTTACCTTAAACAACGGAATGACTGCTGGTTCCATGTACACGTTACTATAAAGCATTATTACCTTGTAGATTATTAGAATAAACAAAATTAATTTTGCTTTTTTAATTAGATCTTATAACTTCCTCGTGAGCATAAAGTGGGTGTAAAAATTAAAGTGGGTTGTTTAGGCTAATAAAATGTGCATTTGTTTATTCAACATAAGCCTGACAAAGCAGGTATGAAAATGTCAGTTATTGTTATTTTAATTATTCTGATTTTGTTAACAAGTCCCTTGGTCAGACATTTATTTACTGTAGAGTTTACTACTGATAACCTCAAATAGGCCCGGAGTGGCTAATCGGGGTCTGGACCGCAAGGCGCGGTGTTGTTTTTGTTTGTTTGTTTGTTTGTTTTGGACCGGTGCTCAGTCGTCATGCCACTGGGCTGATCCCTAAGACTGCCTACCTGCTGAAAGGGCCTCTCATGTCAGGTACAAAAACAAAAACATATTTTTTATAACTCGTCAGTTCTTGTCTTCTTCTCTTTTTCTGTTGGGGTTAGGGTTCAGTCATGGCTTTGATCAGACCGCGCTGTCCCCGGGCCGCCTCTGCCTTTTTTCTGCAGGCGCTTCCAGACAGAACACTTCAGGTGACTCTGGGTGGGAGAAGCAGGACTCAGGAGGAAAACTCTAGAAACAGACGCCACTAAATGTGCAAAATGGGCATTTTTCACTAAAACGTGCTATTTCCGGAGTCAGCAGCAAGACCCAGCAGCATCAGCAGGTAGGATCACTCACTCACTGAGGGAATATTATGAGAATGAATAATGGAAAGGATTACAAAGACCTGCTCTATTAAAGAGGTCCAGATGTTGGCTCTGTCCGGTTCGGTCCGGACCTCACGGTAAAGCCAGGGGGGCAGACTCTCCCACCAGATCCACGGTGCAATTCAACCTGACAACAGTTATCTTTATTTTCATTTACATGAATGATCATGAGGAATCATCTGGACAAATGTGAAAGAAAAAAATCTGTAGAGAAGGAAAATGGAAAGTGTAGGAGAAAACGAGGATGTACTTCTTTAGTAAATGTTCACTGATGAGTTTTCGTGTTTGGGAAATTACAAGTGAGGTCAATCACAAGTTGTGTTTTCATAAAATAGTGTTTCCATCTGAAAATAAGTCAGGGTTTTATTTTAACTTTATTTCTCAGTGTTGCAGCTGGATGCTCTTCTGCGCACCTCTAACAGGTTACCAGACATTTGAGATTATTTTCTAGTTATTCAATTAAATTATAATTGTATAATGAATATTTTTCTAAAGCAAAGTTTTAATAAGTTATTAAATCAGACACATCAATGCCATAGACACAATCTCTGTCACACCACTGCATCTTTCGGATCATTACTTCATCCATTTCAGCACGACTCTACAAGGGAGGTCCACTGCTTCCTCCCCAATGGTCTCATTCCGCCGCAACCTCCGCAATCTGGCACCCAACTACTTCTCCTCTCTTGTTGCCTCCACTCTTCCATCTCCCAGCACATTCTCTGCTTATGAAGTGAATGAAGCCACCTAGTCACTCTGCTCCACACTCTGCTCTTGTCTTAACAACTTGTGCCCTTTAGCCACTAGACCTGCTAGATCCTCTCAGTCGCACTCTTGGCTAAATGATACCCTCCGGTCTCTACGCACCAATCTTAGAGCTGCGGAACGGAAATGGCGCAAAACAAAAGATCCTGGTCATCAATTGAATTTCAGGAATTACTGTCCTCATTCTCTGCCAGCATCACTGATGCAAAGAAAGCTTTCTACACTGACAAAATTCTCAGCTCTATTGACTCAGAAACTTTTTTCAACATTCAAAACTCTGCTCAACCCTCCATCTCCACCTCCTACCAACATTCTATCAGCTGATACCTTT